GTCTTTTAAACTGAATCATAGTAAAAAGAGGTTTCTTTGTCCTCTTGTGGGTCTGACGTTCACAACTGAACACCTCCAAGTGTATGGTAATTGCACAGGCAAAATAGGCATTCAGGTGCATCTAAACAGGGTCTTTGTGTAAATGGTCAGCTGGAGCAGTGAATACTTCCATGTGAAAATACCTGCTTGTGAAAGTCAAGACTCTGTTTCTCTTCATCATTTTATCTGGATTCAGAAATCATTTGAATGCAAGCAGACTAGAGTGTTCCAGGGATGTGACTGAGAAGCTTGGCTAGTGCCAAGCGCTGGTCAGGCCTGGCTTTGTCTTATCTTCCTTTCTACTCCTCACTCCTTCCAAACAAAAGCTCATTGCACAGGGACCTTTATTTCCTTTAGTCTGTAACACCTTCAACTCCATCAGCTTGCCGTAAGAGGGGTATTTCTAACTGTATTCTAAAAAACTAAGGAACTGAGCTTTTAGCTTGCAAAACATTGGCTAATCATGATTAATGCAATCAAATATATGTGAAAATACTCCACAGAAGGAAATGTGGCATGAAACAATGTTTATTAAAAAGGACTGTACAGACACGCTGAACATTTAGCACATTACTCCAACTGGGCACAGGAGTATAATATTTAGAACACAGAACCCACTGAAACTCAAGGCTAGCACTAATGAGGGAAAGGCAGAAGGCTCTCAAATAAGGATGAACAGTGTCTTTTGTATTTTACTTACTAAGGATGTTAGTTAGCTCTTACCTGAGCCCTGCCGGAGCCGTCTGATCTTAGAAGCAAAACAGCCAGGGCTATACTTTGAAAAATGGCCTCTAATTTTGTAACTTGCAGTTGAAGGCAGGTTCACTTAATTGCAAGCGTGCCTGATGGTAGGGTTGCCAGCTTTCTAATCGCAGAAAACCGAACATCCCTGCCCCTTCCCCGAGGCCCAACCCCCTCTCACTCCATCCTCCCTCCCTCCATTGCTTACTCCCCCCTGCCTTCATTCACTGTCACCAGGCTGGAACAGAGGGTTGGGGTGCGGGAGGGGGTGAGGGCTCCAGCTGGGGGTGTGGTCTCTGGCGTGGGGCTGGAGCCGAGGGGTTTGGGTGTGGAAGGGGGCTCCGGATTGAGGCAGGGGGTTGAGGTGTGGGAGGGAGTACGGGCTCTGGGCTGGAGGTGCAGGATCTGGGGTCGGGGCAGAAATTAAGGGTTCAGGGTGCGGGAAGGGGCTCAGGGCTGGGGCAGGGGGCTGGGGCACAGAAAGGGGTTCGGGTGCAGACTCCGGGTGGCACTTACCTCAGGCAACTCCTGGGGAGTGGCCACATGTCTCTCCAGCTCCTAGGAGGAGATGCAGCCAGGGGGCTCTGCGTGCCTGCAGGTGCTGCCTCCTCAGCTCCCATTGGACACGGTTCCTGGCCAATGGCACCCATAGAGCCAACACTTGGGATGGGGGCAGCATGAGAGCCCCCCTGGCTGCACCTCCGCCTAAAAGCTGGAGGGACATGCTGGCCACATCCTGGAAGCCAGGCATGGAACCTGCCTATGCCACCAACCGGACTTTTCACGGCCCGGTCAGCAGTGCTGACTGAAAGTGCCAGGGTCCCTTTTCAGGTGTTCCAGTCAAAAACCTGACACTTGGCAACCCTACCTAATGGACATCTCAAGTTAACTCTTGAGTGCACATATTAAAATGTGGATTGTCAAAGTTGTTCATAGGTGCAAAATTAGAGGTCGTTGTTGATCTGTAGAGGCTTTTACTTTACTAGAAAATACAGAAATTATATAAGAACTATGGTGCAGATAGTTTCCTCATATGCCTAAAAGAGCGAGAAATCAATAAGGGGTGTCATTTCAGAAAAATTCTGGACAGGGGGAGGAGGTGGCAAAGTTGTGTCATCATATAGAAAATTATATGTGATTATATAATAATCCTGCAAAGTCTGGGGGGAAGGGAGATTGTAAAAAATGGAAGACATAATGGAGCATACAGACCTATGAAAAGTCTCGGGGGACAGCTGCCCCCCCTTTCCCCATAGCAAATGAGGCCCCTGAAATCAATATTTCATAATATACGTTTGTATAGTCTCTTAACAAGAAAAAAGAGGAATGAAAAAGAAAGGGCCCAGTGTGGTCATGTCAGAAGCCATCCAATAATCTTCCTGAAATCTGTAATGGGGGAATACTGTATTCCCTATGAAAGAACCCCTCTCCCTTAAATACATAAACAACTTTTGACTCCTTGGTGTAATAGTTTGACTTACTACTAGCAATGCACTTTATTCATATGGCACAATTTTGTAAAAAAGAAAAAATACAAAACCAGCAAAGCACGCTATTGATATGGCACAGCTTTGTAAAGAATATGAAAACAGCCATGTAAATACATGATTGGTATAAACTAGATATGCTATATGCACATATTATAAAAATGTGTTTTTCCTTATTTTTAAAAAAAAGGTAGCTTGTTGAACATGAAGGTGCAAAAGACTAGATTAAAAAAAAAGTACAAAGCACTGACTTAGAAAATGGTGCATCTCCAAACACTCTTCAGTTTAGTCAGAGCTCTGCTCTAGAAATCCCCAAGGAGGAAGTAACTCTTGAATGTAATAGCGAGGTGAGAGCAGTCAGGACAGAGTCTATCCCTTCCCCTATCCACAGGACAGGATGTCACAAGGACTTTACAAATTTACTTTTCTCAGCAAACTACTTCACTGAAGAACCATTTGTCCAATGTCCATTATCACTACTTTTTGAAGTTATATGAATCTCATTAATTCATCTTAAGGGCCTTTATGCTGCCTTCTAACTATACATATTTTCCATTAATCCCAACAGGAATCGCACTATTGAGGGAAGGTAGCATATGGCCTTTCAACATTTAAAAGTAGAATACAGCATTTATTTTTAAGAAACAGGAGTCCGGACATAAAAGACTGTCAGTCAATGTCACCACTGCCCTTTACTGAATGGAATGTCAGATTTGAGCAAGAATGTATCTGATCAGATTACCTTCCAGTGGCTATAATTCACAGAGGCTCTTAATCCTAATACTAAAGTAAGAGAAAAATGCCCATTTATACTGAGTGAGAGGCCTGTATGTTCAGGAGCAGAAGGTCCTGAGAGCTCTCATTGCTGATAGATGTTTACATGGTTATAAAAAGAAAAGGAGTACTTGTGGCACCTTAGAGACTAACCAATTTATTTGAGCTGTAGCTCACGAAAGCTCATGCTCAAATAAATTGGTTAGTCTCTAAGGTGCCACAAGTACTCCTTTTCTTTTTGCGAATACAGACTAACACGGCTGTTCCTCTGATACATGGTTATGAAACTAGTATACCACTACAAGATGAACTAAGCTTGCAGTAAGTGGCTCACTTCAATAAAATCCCGTTGGGACAACTGGGCCTATAACTTTTTGCCTGTTGGGAATTAATCATGAAAAGTAGGTCAAGTTATTTTTAATACAGAATGGTATAAACAGGTGCAAGAAAACCAGACAGAAAAACTGAATTAGTCCAAACTCAAAGGTGTATTGATAAAACTCTAGGATGGTGTTGAGAAGTGAACAAGAAAATGTGGGTCTCAAAATTAATTAACTAAAACTGGCGTGTTAGAAACCAGGCCTAACTAGTGGACAAATGAGAGGGGGAAGAGCTATTTCACCCACCATTCCCTTTGTGCAGGGGTGGGCAAACTTTTTGGCCCGAGGGCCACATTAGGGTTGCAAAACTGTATGGACAGCCGGGTAGGGAAGGCTGTGCCTCCCCAAACCCTCCCACTTCCTGCTCCCCTCAGAACCCTCAACCCATCCAACCCCCGCTCCGCTCCTTGTCCCTTGACCGCCCCCTCCCGGGACACCCCACCCCTAACCGCCCCCCGGGACCACACCCCCATCCAACCCCACACCGCTCCCTGTCCCCGGACTGCCCCGACCCCTATCCACAACACCGCCCCCTGACAGGCCCCCTGGGACTCCCATGCCTATCCAACAACCCCTGTTCCCCGGCCCCTGATGGCCCCCCCCAAACCTCCGCCCCATCCAACCTCCCCTTGTCCCCTGACTGCCCCCCGGGACTTCCTGCCCCTTATCCAACCCCCCCGCTCCTTGCCATCTTACCATGCCATTCAGAGCGACAGGACTGGCTTATTGGAAAGCCTGGGAGGCGGGTGGGTGCAAGCCGTGCTCCCCTCGCAGCGAGTTGAGGCTGCGGGGGAGGGGGGACAGCAGGAGAGGAGCCGGGGACTAGCCTCCCCGGCCAGGAGCTCAAGCGCCGGGCAGGACGGTCCCACGGGCCGGATGTGGCCCGCGGGCCGTAGTTTGCCCGCCTCTGCCTTTGTGGGTCATTAAAGAAAGAGACTTTGTGGGGAAACTACAGAAGAACAGACAGAGATGACTGAAGCAAGCTTCACCATCCTGGCTGCCACTCCCACCATTTCCTGGGACCCCGAGCCTTTGCCTTCCTAATCCTGAGAGATGTCCTCACCAGATCGGGCCAGAGAGAGGGACCCAGGTGACATCACCACCCTACTGGCTCCAGCTGACTCCCAAACACCACCTGGGACGAAATGGGATCGGACTTTAACAGGAACAACAACAGCTACAGCCCAGATCAACTAACTTCTTCTCTTTTCCCCAATCAGACAGTTATTACCATCTTGGAGGAAACTGTCCAACAAGGAGTTTTTCCTTCTAAAACTCTTTCCAGCTAAAGGGAACAAGGAAACAAGTATAAAATTAAAGCCTTATTTAATACTGCACATTTCAAATGCTTTAACTGTTTTTCCTTCTTTTATGTATCTTTAATAAAAGGTTAATAGGATTTTTAATGGTGTGTTTGCTATGGTACTAAGCAGGCTGATGTCTCTGTATAGCAAACTCTGGACAGAGACTGGGTTATGTTAACACCTTTGGCACCATCTAAATTAATACAACCACACTGTCACTGTGTGGGAAGCAAGGGGGGACTTAGGGCAATTCATGTGCTTTGGCCAGCAAAAGCTTTTTAAGTGGGCTTGTATGGTCCCCAGCAGCAGGTACAGTCTCCTCACCAGAGGCCAGGGTGTGGCTTATTCTGTGTTTTTTTAACTACCAAACAAAAATCTGTAATACAGTGGTCCCCTAACCTTTTTTGTCACGCCTCCCCTTACCAGTAATGGAATCTATTCTCCACCCCACCCCACCCCAAGGAGCTGTGGTCGGGAGATGGGTCAGGGCCAGGAGTGGAGCTGTGTTCAGGATCAGGAGCCAGGGGCCCAGGCTGGGGCTGGAGCGGAGCTGGGGGCAGAGCGGGGCTGGATATCCCTCCCTCTCCGCTCTCCATGGGGGTTGGCCTGGGCCCCCCCAAACCTGAAAGTTTCTCCATGCCCCCCTGGGGGGGATGTCCCACAGTTTGGGAACCTCTGCCTTAATACAACCACTCCAGCACAAGTATGGATGAAGGATTGGGGCAAGGGAGAGGGGAGGATAAAAACCTAGGGAAGGGGCTCCCTCCTTCTGTAATCTCAAGTGTTATTGAAAAGAATAATAAGGCCTTAGTTAGTTCTTAATTGAATTGAAGTCAGTCTTACGATTGCTGAAAATGGCCTAATTAAGATGCTAGACATTATTTAATATTAATATGGATACAACGGCTTGATCCCCTTCCCAAATTTTAATCCATTTCTGTAGGAACCATACAATCAAACCCCATAAAACTGAACTATATGTTGATCTCCCATGCGCCCATATCCCTATTTTTCCTGGTCATTTCAGATATACCCCCAAATCCTTGGATACGCTGAGTTTTACTCTATATCTAGCCCATGTAATCTTGCTGGTTAGGACAAGGCATGGGTCTTTAACATAGCAAATGGATATTCAGCTACTTCTGTGCCTCAAGTGGGTTTCTGTTAGGAGAAAATTAGAGTAATCTTTTAGCAACATCTCTCTTTCTCTCAAAAAAACCCCAAAAAACAACAACCCCAACTTGCTGTAGTAACACTTGATCATTAAGAATATTCTGGTTTTATAGACAGTGCCTGCTTTTTAGCAAAAGATACTGTATGGCAAACAGTGTAGAGATAGAAAAACACAGAGACATTTTGGCAAGTACAGTACAGGTACCTTAGGTCTAACATATTTAACTATGAAACATGTATCCTCAAATATATCTTCACAGGAGGGATCATACAAAGTGGTCATCGGCATTCAGACTACTTGCATTAGAAGTTCCACTTGGCTTAGGAGTCAGAAAGATGGAATGACTAAAATGTTAAAGTGTAGCACCATCAACACTTCTCCTAAAACCAAAATGTGAGGACTGGATGGAAATTAAGACGGAACAGAAACATTGTGCTTACGTCACATTAACTAGAAAACAATGGGTAAGTCATACTTAAGTCTGCACTTCAATAAACTGGCCACGTTTACAGTTCTACTGGAAAGGGATTAGGATGGGTCACATGTTTTCTCCATGGATTTTCTGTGTTTCACTCATCCTGTTTCCTCTTGGGTTTTTTGGGATTCCGAGACCGGCTTTTTGCTTTGCAGAGTGGACATATCGGTGCGTTCCGATGAATTTGCTGGTGACATGATAAACAGGCCTGCAATGCAATGTTACATCTTATTAATTTATTTGTATTGAAATAGTGCCTAGGAGTCCCAGTCATGGACCAGGACCCTGTTAGCAACCTATTTCTCTGTGAGGTAATAAACCCATGAAGTTCTGTTGAGACACACTGCTTATTGAACATGTTACCTGCTCTAATAAGTTAATATACTGTACAGGAAAAATAAATAAGCCCCTGCATGCTCAGTGGCGAACTGGAACTAAATTCTGCGGCAAGGTTCCTAGATCCTACAGCAACTTCAGGTCAGTTGAAAACTAAAGGATTTATTGAATTAAATTTTCAAATGAATAAAACTGCCAGTGCACCCCCCATTTATCATTTATTTAGATATTAAATTCAAATTTTTTTTGAGCTTCCCCTCACATTTTCAAGATTTTTGTACTGACAATGCCTGACTGTATCAGAAAAATTGTTTAGAAGGCCAGCTGTGATTCCATAGATTTTAAGTCAGAAGGCACCTCTATCTAGATCATCTAGTTTGACCCCTGTATACAACATAGAATTCTACCCACTTATCCTTGTATTGAGCCCAATAACTTGTGCTTGACTAAACCATATCTTTCAGGATATGTTTGCCGTGGAGCTGGAGATGTAACTTCCAGCTCAGGAAGACATGTCCGTCCTAGCTCTGAATGAGCTAGTGCCTTAAAAAGAAGTAATGTAGTCATGGCTACATGGGCGGGGGGCAGGCTGGCCATCCAAAATACATACGAAGGATCCTTGGAGTGGCTAGCCCATCCCAGCACCCATGTAACTGCAACTTCAAGTCTAGTTTTAAGCATGCTAGCTCGGTCAAAGCTAGCACAGATACGCCTCTCCAGGCGGGAAGTTACACCTCCACATCCAGCAGGCATACCCTCGGAAAGGCAACTAGATTTAATCTGAAGACATCAAGAGATGGAGACTCCACTACATTCCTTAGCACATGTCTACACATACAGGGCTGCAGCAGCATAGCTTTACCAATGCAGCTGCACCGCTGCAGCATGTGAAGACACTCTATGCTGACGGGAGAAAGCTCTGCCGTTGGCATAATAAAACCACCTCCGCAATGGCAGAAGCTATGTTGCGGGAGAAGCTCTCCCGCCGATATAGCGCTGTGCACACAAGGGCTTAATGCCAGTGTAACTTACGTTGCTCAGGAGAGTGGTTTATTCACACCTGAGTGACATAAATTATGCCGACATAAGCTGTAGTGTAGACATAGATTTAGTAGTTTCTTCTAATGGTTAATCATCTTCTTTGTTAAAAATGTGTGACATATGTCTAATTGGAAATTGGCTTTAACTTCCGGCCGCTAGTTCTTGTCATGCCTTTCTCTGCTGGGTTGAAGAACCCATTAGTACCTGATATTTTCACCTTGTAACAATAATGTTTCTCAAGCTCAGGAAGCACAGCAAGTAGAAACTGGCAGTATCTGCCCTATGACTGAAGAGTCCCTGCAGGGGGAGTCATACAAGATACAGAGCCTGATTCTGAACTCTAACTGAACTGGCGCAGCTCTATTAACTTCAGTGGAATTGCCCTTGGTTTACCCTAAAGCAGGCAAAATAAGAATTGGACACATCATTATTTTCAGTGCTAATTCCTTTGTGAACACGATATGTTCCAATCACCCAAGAGACAAGCCTGTGCATTTGACACCCAAGAGACAACGCCTCACCTTCATTGGAGGTGGCTGTTGTCTGAAAGTTGCTGTCTGTCTGGTGTCCTGTTTCCTAGCCACTTGTAGCTGTTGGGCAGCAGCTGCAGCTGCAGCCAGAGATTCTGGAATGGGTGGTTCTTGTGGTTCTGTCTGCCATTCAGCTTTTTGCTTTTCAAAGTAACTATACAAAAACAAACCAAAATTATAATCAACTGCTGGCCTGTCATTTATTGATTTAACAAGCATTGATTTGTAATGACTCTTCCGTGCTAAAACATAATGGGCCAAAATTTTTTGGTTTTCTTCCTCTAGAATCAAATGACTTGCACCAAGGACTCATTTGGATCAATTTTTTTAAAATGGGATAATGACAATTGTTAAAATACTACATGTGGCCAAAAACACAAGCCCACTGACGATCAATAATTAAGGATCATCCTAATATAGATGGAGAAGACTTGTTAAATAATGAATTCCATCCACTCTCAATATCTAGGTTTTTTTTAAAGTTAATGAGCCAGATTCGATCATGTAACTAGTTAGTGGCATAATTATAGCGAAGTTGATATACTATGTTTCAGGTTCTTGTTTTCCAAGTTTTATCTGCAACAACCAGCCCTAAGAAATGTTTTTTGTTCTTCGTTTTTAATATAAACTGAGATTTTGGAGCACAATTCTGCAGCGAGGGATGAACTGCATAGTTATTCATTTAATATGTTCCAGGGGTAAGAGTTGATTTTATATATTTAAGACCACAGGAGGATCAGGTTATTCATAGTGGATCAGGAAGAAATCTCCATGTCCCCACCCAATAAGATCGCATGAACCAAAGCAGAGAATTTGTCCCCTTCCCTTGAAGCATGAGGGGTTGGTTGGTCTCTGCTGGATACAAGGCTAGATGGGCCATTCTCGGGAGAAGCATTAACATCCTCCTTGGTTTTCAAAAAGAAGAGCATATCCTTTACATTTCTTCCATAGATCCAACCATCTGGATTCAGCCACAGCTTACCAGATTAGATTCTGTGTTTTTTTTAACAGCTATAGCACAAATTTGAATTCTGACCAAGACTCACTAAAGACACTCATGTAGTAGTTTTGGGTTCCTCTCCTCCCTTGCATCATATCCATACCTGCTAGTCAAATGGAAGAAATGGATTCTTAGAAAAAAGTACAAAGTAATGTAAAATTAGAGATAGAGTAGAACCAAAACCTTAGATCCAAACACCCTTTAATTTGCGGGTCAGCGCTGGGGTTTGCAGCTTTGGCTGATCTAAATGTAACTTCGATCTTTGCCCCATATTCAGACAGAACCCTTTTGGAGGCTTGTAAATGGCTGGTTAATTTTTGTCGCACATACATGCTTCCTCCACTTTCAATTAATTTTGTTTTTCATGATTGCCTCTGAGTTCCTACCTTCCAGCTGGGCCCAGAAACAAAAATGACAAAATGCCAGCAGAATCATAACTGTATACAAGGCCAAATATTGTTTGATCTGGAGACATACTCAAGAGAGAGTTTCTCTTCCTCCTCACATAGATCTGGCAGCCTCTGCAAGCCCAGAGTCATCCGCAGGGCATCTACGTGCTCCTTCAAGGGCTTGTACTCTTCATGCAGGCGTCGAGTGGACTCCAAGAGCTTATTGAGGTCATTCTCAGACTGTTTGATGGTGTTCTCCATCTGAAACAGGAGGAGACATTTGCTTAGCAGATTGCTCCATTCACAGCTCTCTGATTCACCAGCCAGAGGTGGCAGAGTGCAAAGATGATGCTGTCCTTTAGAGAGTGGAGCTTTTCACATTCAGATTGGAAGAGAATAGGCAGACAATGAAATGGCCAAATAAGGAGTTAACATTCTGGGGGGGAAGGGAGGGTGGAATATGGGCAGGGAAAAAGCAGTCTGGAAGCAATTAGGCCGGGCAATGTTGTTGTGTTGAACACTTCGGAAAGATTCTCAAGGAAGGTTATAAAAATAACCTTTAAAAAAAAATCTCCACTGGGCTAGGGCCAACTCATTTGCATTATTTCAAGCCTTTCCAAATACCCCATAGATTTAAAAATTTAACTCTGATGTTGCTGAGTTCATGTTCCACTTGGGAAAGAGAGGTTTCAGAGTAGCAGCCGTGTTAGTCTGCTCAAATAAATTTGTTAGTCTGTAAGGTGCCACAAGTACTCCTTTTCTTTTTGGGAAAGAGAGTGAGAGAAGCAGCAAAAAGAAAGATAATCTGATGGAAACATGAAGTGCAAGTGGGACAGCATGAAAGAGAAGCAGGGAGTGGAGGGGGTGAGAAAATTCTAATGACAAATGAAGGTGGTGTCACATATTCGAGGTACCCACTTGTGCCTACCCACAGTTTGGGAGCTTTTTCCATCCCTAATACAGAGTCCAGACTTCCCTTTAGCTCAACATTTTAAAAATAATTACTCACCCTTAAGAGAAGGAAAAAGTGTGCGTTTAAAATTGCTGGTGAACGGAGTTGCTAATTCAGAATGGTTTTGCAAACCCAGCAATTCACAAATCCTCAGCACTCTCCAGGGTACCCCTCTAATCATTAGTCTCCCTATTTTGCATTAATATCCTTCACGCTCCTGCTTGTTTTACTATTTGTATTGCAGCAGTGCTTAGTTGTCTCAGGGAGAAATCAAGGCCCTCTGATTCTAGGCACTATGCAAACATTACAAACCATCCCACTATCCCTGCTTCCCAAAAAGAAAACAACCCAAATCCCAGACAGCTGCCAAAGCCTCCCAGGTTCTAGGTGTTAAATTAGGCAGCACTAAGAGGGTTATTTGCTAGGAAGAGTCAGAATAACGCTACTATGACTGCTGGTACCATTGCAGCAGCAATGGGCTCGGTTGTTCGTTCCCTTTAACCTAAATCCGGTATCTATTATTGAAAATCATCTTGCCTGATACAGACAAGCACTAACAGTGACTAAATTTAACTCATTTGATACCATCTGTATAATCCTTTCATGCTGTCAGGAAAGCTCAGGTTGCATATCTCTAATCTGTCAACTGTATATCCTTAGGACAATCCATATGGGACTATATATAAAGTATATCCTGCCCACAATCCCACTGCTACATACCACATTTATGTCAGCATGGATCAGCCGCAGCTCCTCCACGTGGGCCATCTTTTCCTGCAGCAGAAGATCCATCTCCTGCTTGTATTCCTTCAGGTGCCTCTCCTCCGATTCCAGGGCTTCAAACTCTGCCTTCAGGCGTGCCTTAATCTTTTCCATCTGCAAAGTCTTATTCCTACAACCCAATGGAAATTACAAATATAAAGGGACAACTGCCATAATGTCAATGTAAATTCTGTTTGCTTAAAGACTCACTATACACACACACAAGCAAAGGTGTTCACATTGATAGCAGGGGACTGGCAAAAGTTGTTGATAAAGTCAGAACTAAAGTATATCTTTGAAAGACTGGGGTGGTCTGTGCAGAATCCCGGAATCAGGAAACTCCTGGGTTCTAATCCCAGCTCTGTCATTGGTCTTGTCTCCACGACAACTTTTTATTGTATTGGACCATGGAGCTAGATTACATGAAATTTACCAAGATTTAGCAGTTTCTGTAGACCAGGACAATTGTGTTCAGCATTGTATCAGTCATGATTAAACCTTAATCACGAAAGAGGAAATTCTAGAGAAATGTTTATTCCTGCTGGGCTTTAAAGGGGCTTCTTAGAAATGGAGTATAAGATGCAAATGCCAACTATCTCGACAGTAGACTGAGACACTAAAATGCAGACTTTTGCTTTACACAAAGGATGCTCCAAGACAGTAAAAGTTCTGATGCCATTTCAAAGCATCTAAAATTCCACCTGCAGTCTACAGGGTAGCCTCCCATTTTCCTGCTGACCTCCAGCCCCTTTAATGCTATTTGTAACTGCAGCTCCCTTTGTTCTACATTCCAGTTTTTGTTTCTTCTTTTTAAAATGGTACCACCCCATATTTCTACACATAAAAGCTATGGAGTCTGGAGCAATGCCTTTCCCTCCAAAGCTAGGAGAGAAGGACTGGCTGTTTAAGCAACACAGCAAAGCGATGCTTACTATTAGTTGAATCAGCACTGCTTCATGACCATCTCCATTTTAAAACAATTGCCCAGACAGTCAAAAACCTGTTCTAGTTCCCAATCCAGTTTTGCCAGGCCATGATTCAATTATATTCCAATCTTCACTTTCCAAAGACATGATCTTAGAGATAGCCCCTGCTTTCATCAGAACTGTGCCCACCAGCTCTGCTATTGTGAAGGCTTTGGAGTTGCTTCTGTTAGCCCTCCTCTTGCATCCCTTGTGTCCAATTCCAAGAACAAATACAATACCTACCTAAGCCTCCGGTACTTCTGATCCCTCCCCTCGTGCATTTTTAAAGTAGTCTATAGCTTCAAACAGACTGAAAATGAAAACCAGAGGAACTGTGATCATTCTGTTGAGCAATCAAAATCTGACCAAAGAACTTCAAATGGACCAGGATCAAGTCCTTGGGTAACAAATTCTGGCTCCTGTCACAAGTTTTATGGGTGGGACTGAGATAACTGCAGGAGATCCAAAAAACAGCACCACAGGTTATTTTTCTAGAGTGTAACATGCCCAAAGCAGGAATGTCCAACAGTGATAATATCAATAATAGGAGATTTTTTTAAAAAAATCCTGAATGAGATTTTACATGCTCCCTTGGAACAAAATACAACAACGTCCTTCATCACAGGATACATTTTAAAAACAGCCTTAAAAATAAAAAATCTCCCTCTAGTCGAATAAACCTGAACCAGTTTGGATTAATGTTGCTTCTGATCAGCACCATTACACTGGGGAGTAGAAAAGCTGGAAGCAGAGGTGTGCATAGTACAAAGCCAGACATGGAATTGGATCAACTCAGAGGTCACCCAGAGACATTTACAAAGATATTCACCTAGATGAATATTTTACAGTTACAGTAGGGTTGCCACCTTTCTAATTGCTGGTAACCAGACCGCTAAGGCCTCATGCCCTGCCCCGCCTCTTCCACCAAGACCCCGCTCTACCCCCGCCCCCATCACTTGCTCCTCTCTCCCCCCACCCCCATTGCTCGCTGAATTGTTTCCACCTTACACCCCACCCGACGAGCTGGGCTCCCTGTGCTCCAGAGCTGGAATGGGAGCTGCTACAGCATGACTAGGAGCCTGCCTGCAGGCAGGAGGCAGCCCCAGATGAACAGGGGCTAGCGTGGGTTAATGACCCGTGCCTCCCCACACCCTGCAGAGACCAGACTTTTGATGTCCATCAGTACATCTGACCAGATACTGCCAGGTCCCCTTTTTGACCAGATCTTCCAGTCAAAAACCGGGCTCCTGGCAACCCTAAATGGCACCCAGACACAGAAGCCAAAAACTGGACTGTCTGGGTAAAATCCAGACGAGTGGCATCCCTAAGCTATAAGCATGTATATTTCATGTGGTATATACCATGTGTTATTAAAGAGAATATTACATGTTTTATATAGAGACAAACATTTTTTTAAAAAGGAAACCAACTGTCCCAGTTTTGAAGAATCAGAATCAGCCCATCAAAGTAAAAATGGCTGGAAAAAAACAGTCAGCGATAAAAGCATTATATCGATAAAAGTCACCTCCTAATCAAGCCAGAGACCATTTTGTCAAAACAAACGGCTACCTGAATGCATTGATTTCTGGAACCAGAGGCAGGGCTTATTTCAACAAGAAAGTAGTTGCTGACTGGACTTCAGTTCCAGTGGCCCAAGTCAAAGTGTATTAGCCTCTGTGAAGAATTAATGGTCACTTAAGAATTTTTAAAATGACCACAGTAAACTCCGGGGAGTTATTTAGCAATAATATAAAGTTGTCATGCTTTTTACTTTCAGGATTAATAGTGCCATTTTCTCTATATGAAGCAAACATTCATAACTGGCAATCTGATGAAAATTAAGAAGAAAAACATATCATACAACTCTATAACTCACAAATTTACAAGAGTTTAGAGAGCAGTCTTTCATCCACTGAGGAGACAGGATGTACATGATGTCTTAACAGTTTTAGAAAATGAATGTATTTTTATTTATTTTATATTAAGATTTATTACTTTTGAGTGGGAGGATGAAGAGAATTAGAGCAACTGGTATTAAAATTTGTTATTCTACAGTGTTAGGGCCCAGTCTTACAGAGATTTACACAAGCGCTTAACTTTACGCATTGTGAGTAATGTGAATTTTTCAGTGCACTATTATTAATTATGTGCTTTCCAGGAGCATCCAAAATATGCTAGGCATTCTCACTCAGACAGAAGACAGTCAATGCCCAGAAGAGTTTACAGTCTGATGCCTCAGTCCTCCATCCAGATCCGTTAGTGCTGAACTCTGACTCCATGTGAAGTGCCATTGAACGTAATGGGACTTTGCAAAGGAACAGAACTTTGCACCAGTACATTTGGAAGCAAGGGTGGGACAGAGGGATTCAATCGAAATATATGCACTTTTCAATATACATTATGTAATTTTAAAAAGTAAATATATTAACTATACTATCCCTTATACTTGGTCAATTTCTTGTAGCCATCACAAAAGAAGTAGGGCTGTTGATTAATCGCAGTTAACTCAAAAAAAAATTAATCGTGATTAATCACACAATTAAACAATAGAATACCAGTTGAAATGTATTAAATATTTTTGGATGTTTTTCTACATTTTCAAATATATTGATTTCTATTACAACACAAAGTGTACAGGGCTCACTTTATATTATTTTGATGACAAATATTTGCACTGTAAAAATGATAAACAAAAGAAATAGTATTTTCCAATTCATCTCATACAAGTACTGTAGTGCAATCTCTTTATCGTGAAAGTGTAACTTACAAATGTAGATTTTTTTTGTTACATAACTGCACTCAAAAACAAAATAATGTAAAACTTTAGAGCCTACAAGTCCACTCAGTCCTACCTCTTGTTCAGCCAATCACTAAAACAAACAAGTTTGTTTACATTTACGGGAGATACTGCTGCCTGCTACTTATTTACAATGTCACCTGAAAGTGAGAACAGGCATTTGCATGGCACTTTTGTAGCTGGCATTGCAAGGTATTTCTTTGCTGTTACTAGTCAGTTTCATCTTCTAGTTCCAGTGTGCTGCCAGAATGCAACAACATTGTAGTTTCAGGGGACTATTCCAACCCAAACAATTAACTTTTAATATTAAAAAACAAAGTACACATAAAGTATGAAGACATTTCCATTAATATTAGGGCATTTAAAATATGTATTTTTGAAAACAAAAACCTAAATTTGGGACCTAGCCTACATAGCTGATTCTGCTCTCATTTCTATTATTTTCCATTCTAAGTTTCTATACTGCCCTCCTCATCATACTGTCTGAGGGCTTGTCTACACTACAAAATCAAGCTGACTTTATTTAATTCGACCTCAAGCCCCCAAATTAACTAAGTTGATTGTGCGTGGCCACACCATGCTCATTGTCTCGATGGAGTGCGTCTTCACTAGCAGCGCCTGCATCGATGCACAAAGCAGTGCATCGTGGGTAGCTATCCCCAAGTGCAACTTGCCGCAGTGTGTTTTGGGAAGTTTGTGCAATGCCTCATGGGACCAAAACATTGTCGCAGGGGAGAATGGGAACATTGCGTCAGCATCCCATGATACACTGTTCTCAACAACAAACAACCCAGTGGTTTTCGCGCCTTAAAACCGCCACGCATACGCCATAACCACAGAAGCATGTAGCCTGCTCAGTTGTGAACTCTCACTGTGAGCATCTCAAATACCTCGCACCTTCTCCTGCAATATTTCCAAAGCCGAAGTAGGGTCTGCCGCATGGAACATAGCGATGTCCTGCAGAAAGCCCTGCTGCAAGTCATTGAAAAAAACAATTCGCAGTTGCTGCTGGCAGACAGAGAGGAGCTGCACTCTGTTGAGCACCATTTCTGGTCCCATGAAACAAGCACCGATTGGTGGGACCGCATCGTTTTCCAGGTAGGGATGACGAGCAGTGGCTGCAGAACTTTCGAATGCGGAAGGCCACCTTCCCAGAACTTTGTGAAGAGCTTTCCCCTGCCCTGCAGTTCAACAACACAAAAATGAGAGCTGCTCTGACAGTGGAGAAGCGAGTGGCAATCACTATTTGGAAGCTTGCAACACCAGACAGTTACCGGTCAGTGGGGAATCAATTTGGAGTAGGTAACCATGGGAGCTGCTGTGCTCCAAGAGTGCAGGGCCATTGATCGACTTCTGGTATGAAGGGTA